GCAAGGCCGACGAAGAGGGCGATGGCGACAGTGGTGAACTTCATTTTGATGGTTGGGGTTGGAGAACGAGGAGGTTCTGAAAGAGTGATTATTAGAAATAGAAGAGAGTGAAGTAAATGATTGAAAGCTGGAGTGTGATGCTGATGAGGAGAGGAAAAAGTCTGATGGAGGGAGACTGCGAGCTCTTGATTTATAGAGAATCTCCATGGCCTTGACATGCTGCCGGCGGCTTCTCGAATGGAGTGACAGAGGGAAGGGCGAGACGCAAGCTCCCTCGATCCGCCGTGATGCTGGCGTGGAGATGCCGCTTGGGCGTCTTGTCTCACGGGAGCGAAGGCCAAGGGAGAAAAAAAGCACCGCCGAAGACTGAGGCGAATGTACTTCGTGCATCTAGGGAGGTTCATTTTGAGTTGCTTAACTTGCCTCCGGTGGGGTTTGTCTGGGGACCACCGCCGTCGGGGCAATGTCGCAGGAGGGTTTGTCTGAATCCCATATTGACAAGCCGTGATCAAGGGAGCTCGGAAGCCGTAGGAAGATTCATCATGAAGCATTATGGCCTAGAATTTCGAGGCTCGTGACATATCGTCGCGAAGCTCAGTATCTTTGGATTATGAATACCCAGCAGCGTGCAGTACCATGCGCTACCAGCAGCTGTTGCGGCCATTGGCCATCAACCAACGGCCAGCAGTATGCTAATTCAGGACAGAGGCGTCCACATCTGGCGGGTCGGGATGCTTGAGGATGCAGTCTGCAGAAGAAATGACAGGTCAGTCTCCATCTGTTCGCCGGGAAAAGCAATGCTTGTGCTACCAAGCCGCAGCCCCAACCCTTTGGTCTCAAAGCCAAGTTATGCCGTGGGTGCCGTCAACCCAGGGAGAAAAGTCATATTGCATCGAGACTCATGTGCCGCGCCGTGTAAGGGCGAATGAAAAGAGGTTGAGTAGGCGTCTGTCGATGGGAACCAGACAGCTCGGCCACGGCCAGAGACGCTTACGACCCTACTACCATGCAAATCGGAAATGGTATTTCCTTCAACTGACAGGACTTGCAGGAGTCATGTTCGTGTAACGCCCAGCTGCAAAGATCGAACATTGTGGGGTCAGGGATGCCTGTCCCAATCAGAGGCGGGTAGCGGTGTCAGTGTCTCATCTCAACATCCCCCGCCGCTCCGTGATTCAAGGTACCGAATAGTGAGTACAACTGAGAGGCGCTAGTGATGGCACCCCTTGATCGTCTCGATTGTTGGAACCTGATTTGTTTGTCATTGTCCGCTTCTCCACGACTAGGCCATGGCTTGTCTTCCGAGGGTCTGGAGAAAATTGCAATCTTGTTCACGCTCTTTCTCCGCCGTGGTGTCTCACAAAATGGCTTCCATTCTAGGGACCAATTTTTCCTCTAATGTTG